CCTTCTGGAGTTTTATGGCAAGGTAACAGAAGTAAGACACGAGAGAGAGGGGTGGGTTGATTGCATTTTCCTGGACTGCAGGAAAGCCTTTGACACAGTTCCTCAGAAGAGATTAGTGCAGAAGCTGGAGGATCAGGCGCATATAACAGGGAAGGCACTGCAATGGATAAGGGAATACCTGACAGGAAGGCAACAACGAGTCATTGTACGTTAAGAGGTATCACAGTGGGCGCCTGTGACCAGCGGGGTCCCACAGGGGTCAGTTCTAGGACCAGTGCTATTTTTGATATATGCGAACGACATGATGGAAGGAATAGACTCTGAAGTGTCCCTATTCGCAGATGATGTGAAGCTGATGAGAAGAATTAAAGCGGATGAGGATGAAGCAAGACTGCAAAGAGACCTGGATAGACTGGACACGTGGTCCAGTAACTGGCTTCTCGAATTCAACCCTGCCAAATGCAAAGTCATGAGGATTGGGGAAGGGCAAAAAAGATCGCAGACGGAGTACAGTCTAGGGGGCCAGAGACTACAAACATTACTCAAGGAAAAAGATCTTGGGGGTGAGTATAGCACCAGGCACATCTCCTGAAGCACACATCAACTAAATAACTGCTGCAGCATATGGGCGCCTAGCAAACCTCAGAACAGCATTCCGACATCTTAATAAGGTATCATTCAGGACCCTGTACACCGTGTACGTTAGGCCCATATTGGAGTATGCGGCACCAGTTTGGAACCCACACCTAGCCAAGCACGTAAAGAAACTAGAGAAAGTGCAAAGGTTTGCAACAAGACTAGTCCCAGAGTTAAGATGTATGTCCTATGAGGAGAGGTTAAGGGAAATCAACCTGACGACACTGGAGGACAGGAGAGATAGGGGGGACATGAAAACGACATACAAAATACTGAGAGGAATTTATAAGGTGGACAAAGACAGGATGTTCCAGAGACTGCACACATCAACACGGGGACACAGTTGGAAGCTGAAGACACAGATGAATCACAGAGATGTTAGGAAGTATTTCTTCAGCCACAGAGTAGTCAGGAAGTGGAATAGTTTGGGAAGCGATGTAGTGGAGGCAGGATCCATACATAGCTTTAAGCAGAGGTACAATAAAGCTCATGGTTCAGGGAGAGTGACCTAGTAGCGACCAGTGAAGAGGCGGGGCCAGGAGCTTGGGCTCGACCCCTGCAACCTCAACTAGGTGAGTACAGGCCCATACTGGAGTATGCAGCACAAGTTTGGAATCCACACCGAGTCAAGCACGTCAAGAAATTAGAGAAAGTGCAAAGGTTTGCAACAAGACTAGTCCCAGAGCTACGGGGATTGTCTTACGAAGAAAGGTTGAGGGAAATCGGCCTGACGAACACTGGAGGACAGGCGGGTCAGGGGAGACATGATAACGACATATAAAATACTGCGCGGAATAGACAAGGTGGACAAAGACGGGATGTTCCAGAGAAGGGACACAGAAACAAGGGGTCACAATTGGAAGTTGAAGACTCAGATGAATCAAAGAGATTTTAGGAAGTATTTCTTCAGTCATAGAGTTGTCAGGCCGTGGAATAGCCTAGAGAGTGGCGTAGTGGAGGCGGGAACCATACATAGTTTTAAGGCGAGGTATGATAAAGCTCATGGGGCAGGGAGATAGAGGACCTAGTAGCAATCAGCGAAGAGGCGGGGCCAGGAGCTATGACTCGACCCCTGCAACCACAAATAGGTGAGTACACACACACGCAAACACACTGTTCAGGATGGATCAAAAAGCTAGTGAAGCTGGATGATCACAGAGCTAGTGAAGCTGGATGATCACAGAGCTAGTGAAGCTGGATGATCACAGAGCTAGTGAAGCTGGATGATCACAGAGCTAGTGACGCTGGATGATCACAGAGCTAGTGAAGCTGGATGATCACAGAGCTAGTGAAGCTGGATGATCACAGAGCTAGTGAAGCTGGATGATCACAGAGCTAGTGAAGCTGGATGATCACAGAGCTAGTGAAGCTGGATGATCACAGAGCTAGTGGAGCTGGATGATCACAGAGCTAGTGGAGCTGGATGATCACAGAGCTAGTGAATCTGGATGATCACAGAGCTAGTGAAGCTGGATAATCACAGAGCTAGTGGAGCTGGATGATCACAGAGCTAGTGGAGCTGGATGATCACAGAGCTAGTGGAGCTGGATGATCACAGAGCTAGTGGAGCTGGATGATCACAGAGCTAGTGGAGCTGGATGATCACAGAGCTAGTGGAGCTGGATGATTGCAGAGCTAGTGAAGCTGGATGATCACACAGCTAGTGAAGCTGGATGATCACAGAGCTAGTGAAGCTGGATGATCACAGAGCAAGTGAAGCTGGATGATCACAGAGCAAGTGAAGCTGGATGATCAGAGAGCTAGTGAAGCTGGATGATCACAGAGCTAGTGAAGCTGGATGATCACAGAGCTAGTGACGCTGGATGATCACAGAGCTAGTGAAGCTGGATGATCACAGAGCTAGTGAAGCTGGATGCTCACAGAGCTAGTGAAGCTGGATGATCACAGAGCTAGTGAAGCTGGATGATCACAGAGCAAGTGAAGCTGGATGATCAGAGAGCTAGTGAAGCTGGATGATCACAGAGCTAGCGAAGCTGGATGATCACAGAGCTAGTGAAGCTGGATGATCACAGAGCAAGTGAAGCTGGATGATCAGAGAGCTAGTGAAGCTGGATGATCACAGAGCTAGTGAAGCTGGATGATCACAGAGCTGGTGACGCTGGATGATCACAGAGCTAGTGAAGCTGGATGATCACAGAGCTAGTGAAGCTGGATGATCACAGAGCTAGTGAAGCTGGATGATCACAGAGCTAGTGAAGCTGGATGATCACAGAGCTAGTGAAGCTGGATGATCACAGAGCTAGTTACGCTGGATGATCACAGAGCTAGTGAAGCTGGATGATCACAGAGCTAGTGACGCTGGATGATCACAGAGCTAGTGAAGCTGGATGATCACAGAGCTAGTGAAGCTGGATGCTCACAGAGCTAGTGAAGTTGGATGATCACAGAGCTAGTGAAGCTGGATGATCACAGAGCTGGTGACGCTGGATGATCACAGAGCTAGTGAAGCTGGATGATCACAGAGCTGGTGACGCTGGATGATCACAGAGCTAGTGAAGCTGGATGATCACAGAGCTAGTGAAGCTGGATGATCACAGAGCTAGTGAAGCTGGATGATCACAGAGCTAGTGAAGCTGGATGATCACAGAGCTAGTGAAGCTGGATGATCACAGAGTTAGTGACGCTGGATGATCACAGAGCTAGTGAAGCTGGATGATCACAGAGCTAGTGACGCTGGATGATCACAGAGCTAGTGAAGCTGGATGCTCACAGAGCTAGTGAAGCTGGATGATTACAGAGCAAGTGAAGCTGGATGATTACAGAGCTAGTGAAGCTGGATGATCACAGAGCTAGTGAAGCTGGATGATCACAGAGCTAGTGAAGCTGGATGATCACAGAGCTAGTGAAGCTGGATGATCACAGAGCTAGTGAAGCTGGATGATCACAGAGCTAGTGAAGCTGGATGATCACAGAGCTAGTGAAGCTGGATGATCACAGAGCTAGTGAAGCTGGATGATCACAGAGCTAGTGAAGCTGGATGATCACAGAGTTAGTGAAGCTGGATGATCACAGAGCTAGTGAAGCTGGATGATCACAGAGCTAGTGAAGCTGGACGGGCGACTCTGCTTCAGTGTTTCCTAAGTTGACTTTAGCATTAACTAGGTAACAGGGTGTATGGCCCTTAAGAGTTTAGTGCTTTCTCTATGGATTTTCCGTGAATATTTCCATCTGTGTTACGCAGAAGTGTTACATTTACCGATGATGCAACATGGCGCAGTCATCCCAGCAAGACGTTCATAATAATTGTTCAGCTGTAACCTAAAATGTTCTCACCAGGTCTTGTCAACAAACAGTTAAATTGTGATATTTGGACTGATATGTCCAACTTGCATCACTTGTTCTTAGCGGCACATTCACCGCTCTTAAGACCTACACTGGTTGGCATCCCGATGCTTGTTTGTTTGTCTGGGTGAAATACTCGTGTCATCAGGGTTGCAACTCGCATTAACAACCAGTGATATTTTTATTTGTTTAATATGGGATTAAAGTAAATTCGGTGGAAATACATTTGAGAAATACACACTTCTTGATATGCAAAACATCCACTGTGGAAGAATAGCGAAATTCCAAGCGCTTTCGTGACTTCTCACATTATCAAGGAACTAATGTGATAATGTGAGAAGTCACGAAATCGCTTGGAATTTCGCTATTCTTTCACAATGGATGTTTTGTATATTCTAATATACCTGTTTACTGTGATCTTATTGCACCTCTTGATATACATGATGGTGTCTCCCGTTCAGTGTTTGTAGTTATTAACACAGATTGTCGTGTTTTACTTATGTGTTTATAGTTACTAGAATAAAGATATACTTGTGGTACAACGTCCTATCTTTGCATTACTTTCTATGAATCCATTCCATTATTCCACCCCAAATCTGCACACAGAAAATATTCCCTACGATAGCAGAAGACTCAACAGGCGATGCTACATCCCCCCCCCCTCCCCCAATGATAAGGGTGTCATGAGTACGCTAAGAGTCAATACAATAAGTGTCAGGGGCCCAAGACTGTTCAGTTGCCTCCCAGCATACATAAGGGGGATTGCCAATAGACCTCTGGCTGTCTTCAAGAGGGAGCTCGACTGACACGTAAAGTCAGTACTTGACCAGCCGGGTTGTGGTTTGTACGTCGGTTTTCATACGGCCAGCTCTAACAACCTGGTTGATCAGGCCCTGATCCACCGCGAGGGCTAGTCATGAAACTGGCCGCAGAGACGTTGACTCTCGGAACATCCTGACGTATACCTTTCTGTGGAAAAAACGTGCTAGTATTCTTTTGAGTTTATATTTTTCATAATATCCATTTGTCGTGCCCTATCCCAACATCGTAAATTTTAACATTTGCTTCCTTGTCCGTAGTACCGTGAGCGAAACGTGGAGGCGAGCGTAGACTGGAACATCTCTGTGATGGAGCTGCTGGAGAAACTTGGTTGCCCTGCTGACGGAGACACCAACGAATTCATGGCCCAGGCCAACGAGGTGTACACCTACCGTAGAGGTATGTTCCAATCACCTCTCTGGCTTCCTTCGTCTCTTTCACCAAACACCTCTTTCTGTTGCTGTTATTCTTACACACTATCTCCTCTGTAGTCCATTGTCTTGACGTCTTCTCCTACCAGTTATGTAATCTACTGTCCATACCTCATATCCTACCAATAATTGACTGTATGCACGTCTGGTCTTATTTACTGTATAATCTACTGTCGATACATCATGTCTTACCTATAATCTACTGTCTGTACGTCCTGTCCTACCTATAATATACTGTTCGTACTTCATGTCCTACCTATAACCCACTGCTGGTACCGCCAGAGATCTACTGTTCATTCTCTCCTAAGCTCCTGAACACACACCCTTGTTTTCATTATCCCTGCTACCTGTTTACTGTTTATACCATCTTTCTACATCTGTTGTTCATATGAACATTACTCTCTCCTCTAATTCCCACAATAATTATTCAATATTTTTTTCCTTGAACGTTAGGAAACCTTATAACATTTGCGACTATACTGACGTTTCCTGTCTCACCTTCTGTCTCTGTCCTTGGTAGTGGTATCATGTCCTTGGTAGTGGTATTATGTCCTTGGTAGTGGTATCATGTCCTTGGTAGTTGTATTATGTCCTTGGTAGTGGTATCATGTCCTTGGTAGTGGTATTATGTCCTTGGTAGTGGTATTATGTCCTTGGTAGTGGTATCATGTCCTTGGTAGTGGTATCATGTCCTTGGTAGTGGTATCATGTCCTTGGTAGTGGTATCATGTCCTTGGTAGTGGTATTATGTCCTTGGTAGTGGTATCATGTCCTTGGTAGTGGTATTATGTCCTTGGTAGTGGTATCATGTCCTTGGTAGTGGTATCATGTCCTTGGTAGTGGTATCATGTCCTTGGTAGTGGTATCATGTCCTTGGTAGTGGTATCATGTCCTTGGTACTGGTATCATGTCCTTGGTAGTGGTATCATGTCCTTGGTACTGGTATCATGTTCTTGGTAGTGGTATCATGTTCGTAGGGAGAAATATTTAAAAAATTTCCCTAACGTGACAGCTAGTTGCATGATGACCCATTCACTGTACCTTTTGGTCACTGGGTCGAGGCCTTTAGCTGGCTTACCAATTCACCCCATAAAAACTGTTAGAAGTATTTCGGCCGCAGTGCTATCCCAGAGAGATATCCCCAGTATCATAAGCCCAGCCCCGTCTACCTCAGTGCACCCAAAAGTAGTAGTAGTAGTACGGAGTACAGCATAAATATCTAATGCAGTTAAATATCTGAATATTTAAGTATGATACACCAACATTAAGGTTTGAAGCTGATCGGAAGATGAATTCTCCAGTTTATGTACAGGTATACTTACTTTACAAAGGGAAATACAAATCAATTTTAAAAATATAATTAGCATATTGGTGCCATCACACATTACATTCCAGCCAGATGTTCTAAGTAGAACATATTTACTAGTCTTGTAAGTTTGACGCCAGTTAGAAGAGGCGTTCTCTAGTTTTTACTCTGAATTAAACGATTCCAAGTTTTAAACTTGGGAGTTTGCAAATTTGCATCTATATAACCTAAAATTATTGGCCACCATTCAGCCTCTGAAAATTAAGACATTGATAGGCGGCTACTCACGGTTTCCACACACCAAAATAAATATATAAAAAAAAAATTGAAAATTGGGCCCTCATTCTGCGGTAACAATCCAGCTTTTTAATAAAGAAAAACACCAATGATGAAAGTTTGAAGTGATAGATGGACTTTCTCATTTCGCAAGAAAATTAAATCCGGGAAAAGGGACTTTTAGATACCAATAGTTATTGGACCTTTCCCGACAGTACATAAACTAGGGGACCCCAGTGGAAAAAATAATTAAATCCCATTTTAAGAAAACGTTTTAAACAGAGAAGACGCGTCTTTTTTCCTCCCTCTCCCCTCCTTTAGTCTCCCTGTCTCCCTTTCCCCGTCTCTCCCCTTCCCATGTCTCCCCGCCCCTTCCCCTGTCTCTCCCCTTCCCTGTCTCCCCGCCTCCTTCCCGTTCCTGCCTCCTTCCCCGTCTCTCCTTTCCCCTTTTCTCCCCGCCCCCCTTCCCTGTTCCCCCTCCCTTTCCCCGTCTCTCCCTTCCTCTGTCTCCCCGCCTCCTTCCTGTCTCCGCCTCCTTCCCTGTCTCTCCCTTCCTCTGTCTCCCCCGTCCTTCATGTTCCCGCCCCTTCCTGTCTCTCCCCTTTCCCCTTTTCTCCCCCCTCCTTCCCGTCTCCCTGCCCCCTTTTGTCTCCCTGCCTCCTTCCCCGTTCTCCCCTTTCCCCGGTTGCCTCCTTCCCCGTTCCCCGCCCCCTTCCCTTCTTCCCCTTCCCCTGTCTCCCTGCCTCCTTCCCTGTCTCTCCCTTTCCCCTTTTTCTCCCGCCTCCTTCCCGTTCCCTGCCCCCTTTCCTGTCTCCCTGCCTCCTTCCCTGTCTCTCCCCTTCCTGGGTGCCTGCCTCCTTCCCTGTCTCCCTGCCCCCTTCCCGTCTCTCCCCTTCCCCTGTCTCCCGCCTCCTTCCCCTTTCTCTCCCCTTTCCCCTGTCTCCCTGCCTCCTTCCCTTTTCCCCCGCTCCTTTCCCCGTCTCTCCCCTTCCTCTGTCTCCTGCCTCCTTCCATTCTCCCTGCCCCCCTTCCCCGTTTTTCTCTTCCTCATCTCCCCGCCTCCTTCCCGTCTTTCCCTTCCCCCTGTCTCACTGGCCTCCTTCCCCGTTCTCCCTTCCTCTTTCCCACCTCCTTCCCTGTCCCCCTGCCTCCCTTTCCCCCTCTCTCCCTTTTCCCCTGTCTCCCCGCCTCCTTTCCCCGTCTCTCCCTTCCTCTTCTCCCGCCTCCTTCCCCGTCTCTCTCTTCCTCAGTCTCCCTGCCCCCTTCCCTGTCTTTCCCTTCACTGTCTCACGCCCCCTTCCCGTCTCTCCCCTTCCCCTGTCTCCCTACCCCCTTCCCTGTCTCCCTACCTCCTTTCCCCGTCTCCTGCCTCCCTTTCCCTGCTCTCCCTTTCCCCTGTCTCCTGCCCCCTTCCCTGTCTCTCCCCCCCTTTTCCCTGCCTCCTTCCCCGTCTCCCTGCCTCCTTCCCTGTCTCCCGCCCCCTTCCCCGTCTCCTTCCCTGTCTCTCCTTTCCTCTGTCTCCTTGCCCCTTCCTGTCTCCTTCCCTGTCTCCTTCCCCGTCTCCCCTTCCTCTTCCCCTGCCCCTTCCCTGTCTCCTTCCCCGTCTCTCCCCTTCCCCTTTTCTCCCTGCCTCCCCGTCTCCCCGCCCCCTTTCCCGTCTCCCCGCCTCCTCCCCGTCTCCCCTTCCTCTGTTCCCCCTGCTCCTTCCCTGTCTCCCCCGCCTTCTTCCCTGTCTCTCCTTTCCCCTGTCTCCCCGCCCCCTTCCCCGTCTCTCCCCTTTCCTCTGCTCCCTGCCCCCTTCCTTCTCCCGCCCCCTTCCCTGTCCTCCCTTTTCTGTCTCCCCGCCTCCTTCCCTGTCTCCTTGCCCCCTTCCCTGTCTCTCCCCCTTCCCCTGTTCCCCGCCTCCTTCATGTCTCTCCCTTCCTCTGTCTCCCCGCCTCTTTCTGTCTCCCCGCCCCTTCCTTTCTCTCCCTTCCCCCCGTTCCTGCCTCCTTTTGTCTCTCCCTTCCTCCTTCCCCTTTTCCCTTCCTATCTCTCCCTCCTTTCCCCGTCTTCCCCTTTCCCCCGTCTCCCCCCTCTTTCCTGCTTTCCCCCTCTGTCTCCTTTCTCTCTCCCTCCTCCCCCCCCGCCACCCTCCCTGCCCTCTCCCCCGCCTCCTTCCCCCCCTCTTTCCTGCCACCCTACCCACTTCCCTCCCTGCCTCAACCCCCCCCACCCCCCTGCCTCCCCAAAGCCCTTCCCTTTTCCCACTCCATGCCACCCTCCATGCCACCCTTCCCGCCACCCCAACTCCCCCCCTGCCACCCCCCGCCCCCTCCCCCCCACCCTATTGCATCCCCCCTGTCACCCCCCCTGTCACCCTCCCTGTCACCCTCTCGTCCCCCCTCCCCGTCACCCCCCTGTCACCCTCCCTGCCCCCCCCCTTGCATCCCCCCCGTCACCCTCCCTGTCACCCTCCCCGTCACCCCCCCTGTACCCTCTCTGTCACCCCCCCCTGCCCCCCCCCCCCTCCCCCCCCCACCCTCTTTTTATCCCCCCCTTCCCCCCCCCGGTCACCCCCCCCTTCCCCTCCCCGTCACCCTCCCTGTCACCCTCTCTGCACCCTCCCCGCCACCCTCCCCCCTCCTCCCCGCCACCCTCTTGCATCCCTCCCTGTCACCCTCCCTGTCACCCTCCCTGTCACCCCTCTGTCCCCCCCCCTGTCACCCTCCCTGCCACCCTCCCAAATTTTGTTAAACCCGTATTTAACTCCTCACTGGTATACGCAATTAAATACGCAATTACTCCCCTCTGCTTAATTTAATCATTACACCTTTAAATCAATCAATTTAAAATTTTAAAACCCTTTAAAAGTGAGTGATTTATACACCAGTTGAATAAATGATCAAAAATTGTTATGAATAAACAAATTTAAAAAATTTTTTAACACGACTTGAAAAGTTTTGTGGTGTGTTTTATATATATATATAAAATATATATATATTTTATATATTTTAAAAAATTTTTAATATATATATATATAATTCAAAGTATCCTTTTTTAAACAGAATAATTATAAATTTAAGTCGTGTAATAATTAGATTTTTTTTTGTTAAAATGTTTATTGTTAAACAAAATAATTTAATTATTTAAAAAAATAATTAACTAATAATTATATCTCATATAAACATATAACTTTAACTGATAATAAATAGCAAGTACGGAAGCTGGTTCGTAAGGAAGTGATGGTCAGCCACTCACTTTACGGGGCATCTTAAATTATCGATGACGAACACGACCTACACTACCAGTGTCCCACTACCAGTGTCCTTACATACCAGTGATCCTCACACTCCCCCATGACCCCTCCTCCCAGTGACCCTTTAACACTCCCGTGATCCTTCACC